CTGTCCTACAGGTACAGTGTCTGCCTTGGTCTTACTCTGGATAATTCTATGGGCTCACCTGCAGACCACATCCGAAATCCATAGGGGTGTACCCCCAAGTGCTTATATCTTGCCTTTGGCAGCATCCTCAAGGCAGCTACTAAAGATGAGCAGTGAGGAAGTGACCATAAAGAAAAAAGGAGGACAACAAAGGGCTGGATCAATTTGTCCAAAAAACACATCTGAAAACTTGCCAGTAGGTAGTTTGTCCTTTTCTTAATGCTACACATGCTCGCATCTGGAGGTTAGAATTTGTGGGGCATTCCAAAAGCAACGTGGACTTGTGGTCTCGTGGCGTGGATGCCGTGGGGGGGAGGGCTTATGGCTCGGATGCTTAAGATTTCCTGCTTTTGCGGGGTGGCCTTAAGTTCCATCTGCCAGGTCAGCAACCACTTTCACATCTGCCGTTAACAATCCCACCAGCCTCCCTTTTAACACGGCGTCTTCGGTGTGTGTTGTGATGTGCTACTGCTGCAGAAGAGATGCTTTCTTTGACGGTTTTCTCAAAACAGCTATTTCAGCACCTCCAAAAGTTACCTGACACTGCTATTTTTGTGGGTTTCTCTGGATTAACTCTTTCTTGAGTTTCTGCAAAGTATGCTTGGTTGTTTGGAACCTTGCAGGGAGGGGACTGCTGAAGGAAAACTCTTTTTCAGCTGAGCCTCAGAAGGAGAGTTTTCAAAAAAGGGGGCCGAATATGAATCTGCAAGATTCGCCAGGTGATGTATACCCCTTTTTCCTGCCTGTTGGTTTCCCAGCTTTTGCACACTAATCTCCTCTAAAGATTAGTTATTGACAGGAAGAGTTTTCAGATAAACTGTGCCAATATTTCTCCATTATTTTGGCCCTTCTCACTTTGATCCCTCAGAGTTCCTTTGAAATTCCATGAGGCCTCTGGACTGAAAGAGGTTCAACACCCCGGACTTAGAACATGGTTCCCAAAAGCCAGAGAAGATACTAGTAAATCTTTTAGGTGCAGAGATATGAGACAAAGTAGTTTCATTTATCCATTTTCTTCTTGAACCTTTTAAACAAGTTCCTCTGTATCTAATTTCAGCTTAGGTCCAAGCTCTACACAAAGAGCTTTTCCTTGATACTTTTCCCCCAACCTGATTGGGTGGAGGGTTTGTGATATAGTTCTTGTTAAGTGTCTGGTCCTGCCACATCTGAAAAGGAAGATGGAGGCTTGAGATTTTCCAAGAAGAAATGGGTGGCAAAAATTGGCAAATCATTAAGGATTTATCAGGGGACTCCCTTCTTGTGAAGTAGGTTGTAGCAGATGAATTCTTGTTAGGCAAAATCAAAGTCCGTCTGCTCTTGAAAACCACCAAACATCCTGTTTAACAAGCATCTTACAGGGCTTCTAAGTATCTTGTTCTCTGCGGGATTTAGAAAGCCAGCCCTTACAAGTCTCTGAAGATTAAGCTTTGATTAAACATTTCTTTTCTTCTTGGGAACTGATAGCGGTATGCAGGCTCAATCATTTTTGAAGCTTACTCCACCTAAGCTGAGGAGCTTAGAAGCACGAGTTATGCCTTTCCCGGCCCCTTGAGGCCAAGGGCGCTGTTTAGGCAAGTTTATGAGCATCGTCTGGAAAGGATTTGTTTTGAGAATATTAATGAAACTAAAAAATGGAGGGGAGGGTGGGGTTTCACCTTTGTATCATACCATCTAAGTTGAACCTGACAATAGGCACCATTTGGGCAGTGGGATGATCTAAGGACGAGTCGCAGACTGAAGACCCCTCAACCGTCTTCCACTGAGGGGCAGCTTATGTGTAACCTTAACTGCCTGCATATGGCTGGGCCTTCCTTTCTTTGTTTTGTCTGCTCCAGAACTGACTCTGTTGTGAATCAGGACCTTTGCACGGCCACCGATTGCTTCCTGAAATGTCCCCCTTGCCATACCTGTGTTGGGACTCCAGACTGGGGACAAATACCTCCCTCCCTTGATACAATTCTCCTCTTGCTTTAGGCCCCAGGTACAGGAGCAAGGAAGGCTTTATTCTCTCCCTTCCAGTTCGTTGTTGCCCCAATCTGATTGAGGGTAACACACTTATTACAGAGTTTAGGGGAGCTAAGCCATAGTTCATGCTGTGCAGGGACTGGGTTTGCATGATCACAAGGAAAGGGGTTGTGGCAATGCCTCACTACCTCTGTGTCACGACAGCCACACGCTGTGGAATTGGCCCAGCTGTGCTCAAGGCCAGGGTTTCCTGGGTTGTCCCGACCTGCGACATACTTGGCAGGGGATGGGTTTGAAACTGACCCACTGGCTCGACTTTGAAGCCGGCCCCTCCACGTGGCTTGCTGTGCCCGGATAGCACCAGAAGATGCTCATTGCAGGGCTGATGAGGCAAATCACGTGCTGTGTGACTGGAGCCCAGCCTAAGCTGTGGCTTGGCTGCTTCGGCTTTTGAGAGGAGCACAGGGCCAGTGTTAGGTGTGCCATGGTTTGGCAGAGGTGGAAACTGCCTGCGGGTGGCAGATGCAGATCTTTGGCAGGGTGGAATTTGGAGCAAGATGCCTCCAGTGCGGCTCCTCTCTTGGCAAGAGCTCAGCACTGCATCGCCACTGTGGTTACCCGGTGTTGCTGACTGGGCAGGTGCTGGTGACTATCCCGGCATCCAAGGAAAGGAGTGTTTGGGCAAACAGGAAGTGGGAGCAGAGCCAGTTTTGGGGGGCTCCTTGTGGGGTTTCTGCTGCTGGTGGGCTGAGGGGCTTGATGGTGCCGAACCATCCCAGTCTTGGGCTGCAGCCAACAGCCTGGCCCCTGGGCAGACTTTATGCAGGCCAATTTGTGTTCTCTCCTGAAGTTCAGTGTGAGGAGGAGTGAAGCAGAGCAGTTCTTTTAGTTGACCATCTTTAGTCTGGTCCATTGTCCTTGCTGGCTTGGGCTGATGGGAGTTGTAGTCAAACGCATTTGGAGAGCACCCCTTTGTCCTGCTGGGCAGAGAGTTGCTCCCAAGGAAGTGCGACCAGTTGGGTGCTTAGTAATCTGCCTTAGGTCAGATTGGAATATTTTTGGTATTATCTGCTTTGATTGGTGGGTGGCTGTTTTCCAAGGCTGCAGTTAGAGAGAGCTTTTTCCCATCTCCTCGCAGATGTGAAGGGCTGGAATGGGAATCCCCCATGTGCAAAGCAAGTGATTTACCACCAAGCTGCTGTCTGCGGTTGTTGTAGAATAAAGGACCGCATTTCATCAAAATAGATACGTAACAGTCAAAACAAGAGAGCCAAAACAAAAACATGTTTGGTTTTGGGCAAACGATCTCCCTGTAAGCATTTCTAAGTTTCACTAAAGTGTATCTGGCTTAAAAGTGGTGGTCTGTTGTTTTTTATAAAGAGCAGTTTGGGAGTTTATACAGTTTAGAAACTGTAGTTAACCATTCAGAGAGTCAAGACTATTAGGCAGTCTTTAAGCGAAAAGAGTAGTAGTCGTAATAATAGAAGCAGCAGCAACTAGTAAAAACTAATGGCACCCCAGGTTTCTTCACATCAACTGGTGCCTGAGACCTTTCAGCCAGATGATTCAAACTCCCGGGTGTCCTGTTGTGCAGGGATTTGGCTTCTCTCCTATGCAACACTCGAAAACATGGAGGTTATAGAGTAGCTTAGTTCATATAGTGAGCTGAACTCTAGAATTGCAATTCCACTGCAATTTTTCCCTACCTGCTAAATGGAAGAAGGTTTTCCGGGATGCGTTTTGGAACTCTGGATAGTTGGCAGCCGTCTTCCCCAACCTGGTGCCGTCCACATGTTTTTAATTGCTGCTCCCAGAATTCCTGATCGTTGGCCATGCTGGCTGGGGTCAATGGGATTTGGAGGCCAGCAGGTTGGAGATGCCTAACCTACAATCTTGTGCTCCATTTTTGGTTGCCTTTGGTAACTAAGTACTATTGACCACAATGCTTCTTTTTAAGGGCTATTTGGTTGCTGCTGTGGTGCTTCCCCAGTATGGGCTGGAAGCAGTTTTAAACAGCCTTTAATCAACTATTAGAATATATGAGTTGCTTTTGTGATGACTGTTTTGGAGTGGTGTTGGCATGGAAGGACAAATAACAGATACAGAAATGGCTTCTTCTATCACCATGTGAAGATTTTGTTTCTCCAGCAAGCATTGGATAGTCTGTTGTATGTGGATCCCTTCCAACAACCTGATTTCTGTTTACCCCTGTTTGCATGGCTACTGCCAAAGTTTATGCATTTGGGAGGAAACTAATTGTCTGAATCTCTGGCGTGTGTCTAAGTAATTCCAATAAATCTGGGGGTGGGGAGTTAATTGACAAAATATACCATATTTGAATCTGGTGAGGTTGACAAATGGAAGTCATGGAAGTAACGACTCGCAGCAGCTTGTGTGAAGGAAGGAGGGAGAAGTTGGTTCATGCCAGTATTGCCAGATCATGGCTTGATGTAACATGTGAATCAGCCCAGTGTTGGTTCCAGGCAGAGGTGTACAGATTTTGTTAATTCTGTCTGGTTTCATCGATAGTCAAGCATGTTTCATTGCATAATCTGCTCATTGATGGAACTGGGTTTTTTAAACCACAATCTAGTTCTTTTTATGCTTGTTAACACCAGTTTGCACTTGCATGTGTAAAGTCTGGGGTTTCTCTAATACGCATTAATGCAACTCTCCTCTGGAAGCAGAAAGCCAGTCTGCACGTCCATGGATCCCCAATCCACTGCAGAATTTGCAGTTTGGAGCCATAGAAAATCAAATTCATTTGAATTCATTGCAGGTTTCTTAGGTATCCCTAGTTCAAGTACTCCAAATTTCTTTTAAAAATATAGTTAAGCCCAAATTTTCTGACCCTTTTTCTAAAAAGTGACATTAATTAAATTTATGGGGCTTGGTTTCAAGGATAATGCATGTCGCTCCAGTTATCTGGCCGCCTTGAAGTTACGCCATTTTATTGCTGCCCCAAAAGTGTGACTCATTTGTCCTTTCATTTACAGGAAGTTGTATCTCCGTCCTTGAAACTGGCTCCTTATTCTCAGGGCAGTGTCCGGAGGATTATATTAGAGAATCCTGAACAGGTAGGAACACTTAGTAGCTGTTGTAACTACCTTGTGATATAATACAGGGTGAGGATGAGGGTTACCCCATGAGGAAAAGGAGTGATGAGTTAGGATACTACGTTTGGCAACACACCCAACAAGCCTTCCTACCTGGAGGAGATCCGTCGGAACTAACAGATGGTGCATTGCAGCAAGGAGTACACCAGCGTCCTCTCTGGCCGTCTTGTGTAAATGCAGCCAGTGCCCTCTTCTGGAGCTCAAACTGGCCAATTCCTTTGCTAGTGAGTGGCTCCCCATGCACAGTGCCAAACAGTTCTTTTTATACTTGCAGGAGCCACTGTCTCCACTTCTGAGAGGAGGAAATAATGTGATCTATGAGAAGACAATAAGGAAATATGAACTGCTTAATCCTGATCAGGTAAGAGGGCTTTTCTTCCCCTTTCTGCTTTTCTTTTTAAGCAGAGAATGGTTTAGCTCTTTACAAAGAAGGGCTCTCACATTTTGGATTTGCCTGAGTGTTCCAGAACGGTTAATAACAGAGACATGTTTTGGTGGTACGAATCTTTCAAGATTCCCCACCACCCCTCACAAGGGCATTTGTGCTTCCAAACCCAAAGAAACACCTGTTTCAGCTGAGCTGCAGAATGGGGAACAGACTTACACAAGAGCACAGATGCTCTCTCTTGCAGGGAATGCTGGCTGTGCGACCAATGAATTAAAGCCTTCTTTTGAACAGGTTGAATAGGTAGCATTGTGTTACATTCTTCACTTCTGGAGGAGGATGACATTCCAGACTATTTTTTGTGGGGGGAGGGTAGTTCCTTTAGTGTGCAACAGACTGGAGAGGTATTTTAAACTCGGTTTATGAATTTACCACTTGGAGAGGAGGAAATAGTGCTAACTGTGAAAGAGGCTCACATGGAGTGGTTTAAAGAGAGAGACGGGGAGAGAAGGAGAGAGATCTTTCAACTATCTCGTAAACTTGAAAAGATTTGGAAACCCTCTCCAAGGGGAAAGTTATTTGAAATTCTTCCCCTCCCTGAAAGAGAGGCAGAAAAAAATGCCTCTTTTGTTTGAAAGTGAAAATCTGGGGCGGGGTTTGACAAGCTACACCAGTGGTGTGGATGCTCCCTCCTATGAAGGGTAGAACATTTTGGTATGAGCATCTGTCGGGTGGCCATGCTGACTGGGACTGATGGGAGTTATGTTCTCCAGAGGATTTGGACTATCAGAGTTGCGCAAACTCTTTTAGGGTATTAGCACTGTTCAGTTCTGTAGTACAGCGGATGAACTGGAAATGATAAAGAACAGAAGAAAAGCCGTCCTGGATCAAAACAAAGGTCCATCCAGTCCAGCTTTCCATATCCATGGCGGCAAATTGGCTGTCCACAGGATTCCTCCAGCAGGATGGGTGCAAGACCAGGCTCCTCAGCAGTTGGTGTGTGCAGATAAGCCACCTCTGTTAAAGGAGGCAGCACTCAGCAAGCAAGGCGAATGGCCACCGATAATCCCCTACCTTAGAAACCTGGCCTTTGAAAGCCACCCAAGTTGGTGGCCATCACCGCTTTCCACGGCAACAATTCCATAGTTTAACTATATGCTGTGTGGAGAAGTATTTGCTTTTATCTGTCCTAGCCTCCCACCCATCAGCTTCATGGGATGGCCCCAGGTTCGAGTGTCGTTGAAGAGGGAGGAGAAGGTCTCCCTCTCCGCTTTCTCCACACCATGGCATTGTTTCAGACACCTCCACGGCCTCTCCCCTTCCTCACCTTTCCCCTGAGCTGGACAGTCCCGGTTGTTGCAGCCGTTCCTCACTGGGGAGCTGCTCCAGACCCCGATCGTGCTGTGCACCTGGCTCTGACCAGATTCTCTGACCTTTAGGAGAAGCAGTATCAATATGCCCTCCAGCACACGCAAGCTGACTCATGCCAAGTCTGCCCGCCAGCGGAGCCTGTTCAGGTGGTGCACCAGTGCCAGCAGACCCAGGCAAGCAGTTGCTGTGACATCTCCCCAATCTGTGTTAACGATTTCGGAAAAGGAAACGTGAAGAAAGTCACCATACAGACCTATGAACCAGTAAGAATTCACTCCTCTTTCATATATGTTATTTTAAAGGTTCCCCCCACCCCCTGCAAAGGTTTGTCCTCAAGACCCAGGGAATGACCTGGGCACACCTGAAGCTGCCACACCGCTAAGGAAGATTTGCAGTACTGATGCTCAGGTGCAGCAAACCCTCCCCTCCCCGATTTGTGAG